TCGAGCCCTGTGTCAGCTGAATTCTTTTTTCTTGGGGGGGGGGGGAGCACTAAGCTCAGTGCACTGGGAACAGCTAATCAACAGGTCAGACCTGAGAGATCAGCTGAAGAAGAAATCTGAAAATTGTTATAATAATTGCAAAGTTTGTTCCAAAAGTATTAACTGTGTAGAGATATTCATCCCTGAAATCAAATTAGAAATTAACAGTTCAGCTAAAGACTCTGTAGAAGTGAAAGAGATGATCAAATATTCACCAACTTACTCTGAGTGTTGGGACTGAACAGAAAAGTGTTTCTTTTTGGCTGTGTACAGAAACAATATTTTCTGTGTTGAAAGCAGAAAGGAAGGCAAATACTTAACTGATTTAAGTCTCTGCAGCTGCATTAAAGGCATTTCAGCTACGGTCAGGTTGTGGCTCTTCTCATGAACATAACATTTGAATTGATGGATAATGATAACAATCTCCAAAAAAGAAAAAAATCAAATGTTAATCAGGAGTCTTGATACAGTGAGGTAGATGAAGTGACATCACTGGATACAAGCAGGAACCTCAGACCTTTGAGGTAGTTTTCCAAACTCCTCCTGTCTCCTGATGCATAACGGAGACATCTAGGCTCACCTAGGGAGGATGTAGATCTCAAAGCAGAAAACAAATCCTTGACTGAAAAAAACAGAGGTGCAGTTAAAAACATTAACTCAGCCAAGATATAAGAGTCATATACAGAAAACATACTAGAACACAAATACTATAACACATGCATTCACAACTGTAATATTTATTACTTTGTCTAGTACATATCGCCTGGTTTCCAGCTGAGTAGTAGTTTTCCTAATATCTGTTAGGTTTTAGGAGAAGAAAAGTTTTTAAGTGTTTAAAAATAAGAAAGAGAACAGCAAATAAGGTAGATTACGAAATGCCAGAAATTAACATTTTGTGTCAATACTCCTGATTTTGTGAAAGTTTTAGTTCTGTCCTTCTGGTCCATTTCCATAATGGAATTTGATGAGCTGTTTAGTATTGGCAATAAGTCATTAGTATTATCCTAATCATTCTCATTTAGCTCCCTAAGGATTTTTCCTCCAGAATGATTGCAAGTCTCATTCCACCAAGTGGAAATACTTTAAAATGAATCAGGATACACTGTTACCCTACAGCCCTCAAAATAACTTTTGCGCCATTTCTTTCTTAATCATGCTTAACCTGAACACATATCCCTGTTCAGAGACATGTCCACAACACAACCCTCCACAAATGACTAAAGACAATGCTTATTAGAGCTACAGTTCCAATTATTAAAATAAACAGCTTTTTTCTGTGGTGTCCCTCAAAGAAAGGGCTTGGGGCAAACACCACCAAACCCATTATCTCCCCCACAGGATTTGATTACTGTTGTTTTTCATCTCAAATAGGAACCAGTAATCTGCATGTATTAATCCTCATGTTACAAAGCATCACTCTGCTATGTGAGCAATACACAGCTGAGCAGAAAAGTGCTTTTCGGCTTGAGGGCGAGTATGGTGAAGGGCTGGAATTGTTGTTATCCCCACTCCCCTCACTGGGCAGGCTGAGGGGATTTGTAACTGGCCATGCTGAGCAGACACCAGCATTTACAACAGCAGGAAAATCCACAGAAAGTCAAGGAGTGCAGAGGTCTCAGGAGCAGAGCAGGCTAGGTCAGAGCCTGAACGGAGCCTCAGAGCAATCCCAAGGCAAATTCAGGTCCAAAGGCTGACTTAGTAAGGGTCTCTTCAGCAAGTATAACATCAGCCAGGGACACAGGATACATATATATGATATATAACAAATTAGCTCTTGATCTCTGACCCAGCACTCACAATTTCATAGATATATATGAAGACATAGAAGAGTTTTCTGCCTATGGGGTAATTTGATTAAGCATAGTTTCTTTTCCTATTCTGTTAATTTAGAGATCTGTAAACACTTCCACATTTCACTCACAAGCACTTTTATATACACATGCCTTATCTACCTTGTGCTGAGTCTGGTTTCAGGACCCCTGATCAAACCAAGACATTTCACCCATGCCAGGCTGTGGCAATTATTAAAACAGGTGTCACAAAGCACTTACCTGGATGAGCTTCCTAATACAATACTTCCACATGCATTGTTTCAAAAAACAACACCAGATACACCCTCACTGAGCTGTGCAGGCTGAATAGAGAGCTAGCAGCACCGGGATTTATATGGAACTCGTATCTTCTGCTGCAAAGCATTAGCCAGGTGCTCCCTGTTAGCAAAGTAATAGGGAAAAAGTGTGAGCTCTTAGGATAGAGCAAATACTCCTAACGATATGCAAGTTTTGTCCAAGAACAGACTTACATGAAAGATACTTTCATACAGTTTTCACACTATGCTGTCTCGGTTCCTTGAAAACTGTATTAGAATGATTTCAGCGTAACTTAAGGCAATCAAAACTAACAAAAAGTGTTCCCAAGCATTCGCGCAAGCATACGTGCAAACCAGTCTGTATACTGTAGATTTTCTGAATCAAGCAGTAAGCGTGTTATTTTGTAGATGAGACACTGAAATACAATAGTTTGTGGAAACTGCACAATACCCAGCGAAAAAACTGAAGATACCAGCTTCAGAAATGATCCCACGTGCCTCTAAAGAGCTCCTCAATGAAGGGACTGGTTTCTCTCTCTTTAAGGCTGCTGAAGCTTTGATCACAAGGCAGCCTTTTGCCATTGTGAGCCAGAGACTTGACTTGAACCTGCACGGAAATGAGAACATAAGTGTTCTGACGGCAGGCTGGCATGGTCTCCATACTGAATTTCTCCAAAACACTTCCTAACTATAAAATTAGCAGTCCCTTCTCTCCTGACATTCTGTTGAACATCTGTTTCCAAGTCTGGACAGAGACAGTCAAATCCCAGTACATTTGCTATGGGGCTGTTCTTGTCCAAACTCTCCACATAGGATGAATAACCTTCACTCAACTACTTCAGCTATGAAACACATGTCAGAGACCCCTTTGATTTCACAGCACATCTGAAAAATTCCACTTCACAGATAAAAGGCCTTGAATTTATAGTACAATTTTCTTGCCTCAGGAAGATCTTGATCTGCCACTCGTTTTGACTGTGAGACAAGTCCAATTACCAAAACAGTTTAGCTTCCAGGGCAGCTCCTCCGTAAGAAGGGGGGCAGCACCCCTGTGATTACCTTGAGTGACTTGGAACTTGTCCTAAGCCAACAACGCAAGAAAGGTCAATGTGCACAATCCTTTCCAGGCCCCTGCCTGTGAGCACTTCTACTCCATGCTTTGGACATTTCTATGCATGTAAGCTGATGTGGCAGAGTGCAGGAATTGTTTTGAATCAGACGTGTGTAAGGAAAAACAGGGGCTTAAACTCCTTTGGAAAACATCTGCAGAAGGAGTTGAGGGCATGCTACCTGCTAGGAGCGCTAAAAGCTGGGAGTGTGGGAAAGCTGTTTCTGTTTTAGTTCTCAGGCTCACTCAGGAACAAAATCTGCAGCTGAGTCATGAAGGAACTCGCAAAGACCATATGCCGATCCAGTTGCAGAACCTGCACAGTCCAATAGCAACACCAGTCCTTATCCTCTGCCCTGTTGGTAACCACCCACCGGCTAACGCTCTTGACACCAAAGAACCAGTCCATGTGTGTTCTGGTGGGTAAAAAACAACATGCCCAAAGGAGCCATATGGGGAGCCTCTTTATAATGCAAACCAAGATACATACAAATCACTCATTAGTCTTTAAAGGTTTTGCTTCCTACTTCATCACTGAAATTTTCCTACAATGTGACACTCAAGAAAAATAATACAAGAGTATTGGCAGTGCTTGGCATAAGTATTCAAGACACGTCTGAATCAAACTGCTGTGTAAATGCCATAATAGGAAGGTTGGAAAAAAGATAAGAATCTGATGACACAGTGGCAATGCAGTTCTTTGCATGCGGGCAGGTGTGCTTGCTAGTCCTACCTTTTAGCGGCCTGGAGTGGTTATAACAACATCCTTCCCTTTGCTTCTTTTGGAAAAGGCATTGAAGATAAGTTGTAAGCAGCACTTGTATGCTCATTTGCTTCCTAGGAACATAACAATGGCTGTACTGGGTCAAAAGTATGTCTACCTCACAATCCTGGCTTTGATGGATATGTAAGAAAAGCACAGAGTGATACTTCCTCCAATATGCCTCCCCAGCTATCAGCAAGTTATAACTTAAGGATTTCCAGAGACTGTATTTTTGTATTAGTAGACCTAACAGATCTTTCATCAAGGAGTTTGTGTAGTTACCTTCTAAACCCATTTACAATTCTGGTCTCTGCACTGTCTTGCAGCAGTGAGTTCCACAGTTTAACTACGTCCTTTTGTGAAGTGCTTTATTTTGTTTTATTTCTACCATTTGATAATTCCCGTTGATCTGATTCTTATATCATGAGAAAGTGAACACTTGTTTCCTGTTCCTTGCCTATGTCACTCACAATTTACAGACCCTTATCATATTCTTGTATCCGCGTATTTTTTTCATGATGAGATTACGTGTCTGTTTCCTCTCTCCATGGTCACAAGACATTCAATGCTTTGTCAACCATCTCTGTACTTTTAGTTTCATTTTAGCCTTTTTGAGACAGGTTAAACAGTACCACAAAGAGGTATTCAAGATGGAAACACACCATTCACCTTAACCAACTGTATTTTATTCTTTTTAATGAAAACTTGTAAAGGTGGAACAGAAGCCGATTTGGCCATTTCATTTAAATACCTTAAAGGGAGACGGGGGTGGATTCGACCAACATTTTGAAAATGTGTTTCCTAAGCTTTAAGAGAATGGCTAAAAACCCTGGAGCTGCATTATGTTGACAAAATACAGCATCTCACAGGATCAGGCTGTAAAATGTTATCTCAATCCAGTTCCAATGACCCTTTTATTATACTGCCTTTAGATTTAGTAGAAAACAAAATAGAACCCTGGAGGGTTAATATTTTCCAAAAACAGCCCTAGTTGAAGACAATCAGTGCAGCTTTTGATAAAACTGATCAAAGGGCAATTCTTGACAGCTTGGAAACATGAAATGCTTGCCCTCTTTTAGTTTTGCTCTTTCAAGACCAGGGTTTGTTTTGTATAGTGGCAAACATTATTCCTGCATTGTTTAACTTCTGCACAAGAGCCCTCTTTTCATTACACCAGAGTAAAAGTAGTGTGGGATTAGAAAGAGGTTCTTTGTGCTCTGCTAAAACTTCTTTTTTGCAATTGATCTTTTTTTTTCCTCTCTCTCGCTCGCTCGCTCGCTTTTACGTCTTGGCCACTATTTACACATCAGCGTCTTCTGCTATTGTCTTTATATTGTATGAGAGTCCCCTTGAAATATTCTTACAATGTTGCTATTTCTTCTCTTTTTTATGACATAAAATTGAAAGTGTTTCAGATAATGTAATTGGCACTACACATACAAAGCGGCAAAAAAGAAAAGCATGGGGTGAACTGCTATAGAAAAGTTGTGTTGGGGCAGCAATACATTTGCTAGGAGGGCAAATTCATAATCCCTTCTGAATCACAGTGCTGATAAGGGGATATATAGTTCCCCATTGACAAGTAACTAGGAGTACCTTAAAACTGCTTTCTTTTATTCTCAGGGCAAAAGCTTCAGGGCATTTCTCAGCTCCGTGCCCTCTCACAGGAGAAGAAACCTCATCTGGCCATTTAACCCTTTACAAAGGCCCACTAGATTTTAATCTCTCTCTCATAGTCTTTAATTACTCATCTCCCTCAGCACTTTCCCAGTTTTCTTTCATGCCATTTGAAATCAGGTCACTTTGTAGATATTGGCATACAAATTAAACTAAGCATTTAGTCGGTAGCAGTCAGCAGTCAGTTTAAAAAGCCTTTCGGGTACACTCTCTACTCCCTTACACAGGTCGAAACCTGCAGGAAGTCTGAAGACCTCAGTCCCTAATAACCTTCCCTTTATTCAAGAAAGCTGAAGCTGTAAAACACTATTCAGTCCTTGTAATTCCTTGCTCCTCGTTTAAGAAATCATTGGAACCGAACGTTGACATAACCAATACAGAAATGCTTAACTGAGGGGCCAGCTAACAGAGATAATTTCTATGCTATCAGAACCTTATTTTAGTTATCACCCTCAGTTAAGTTCAGAATTGCTTTTTAAGCTTCTCTCTTAAAGCTCATAGCTTTAAAATGCGAGTCTCTGCATTCTCAATTCATTGCTGCTTATTGAGCATTTTGGGTACAAAGAAGCATTATTGTCTCCTAATTTTAGTTTAGAAGAGGCAGCAAAAAAAAATAAAAAAAACCACTTGCAGATTCACCACAGATATTTGCAGGGAGGATTTCACCAAGCTGTTCAGGTCTTTTTGCTCCTCGCTTTCCCCATTCATATAATGGAGTTGAAAGTCTTTCCTTAGTTACCTGGGATACTGCCTATAAACCAGTTGGTGTCCGGTGGGTGGTTTCAAGAGGAAAAACATTTTCCAAATGCCAGACTTCTTCATTCTGGAGTAATGATTGCCAGGGTGACATACCTGTGAAATAACACCCTGCCTCTGAACACACCTAAGGAGGGCACATTTCTTACTCAAAGGCTATTTATTTATTTTTGGCAAGTAGCTGTTTATGCTTACACCCCAGGAGGACGTAAGTCACAGTTCGGATGGTGAATGTGGGAAAAATGCGAGTGTTGGAGGCATCCCTGAGAAAAGTCTCCTCTCTGTCATGGGAAAAGGGCAAGTCTTCCTAGGAGGCAGCGAGTTCTCCACAGTGCTGAGTGTGCAGATAATCGAGCAACACTTCATTTTCATTTTTCTGAAACACCCAACAGTAAACCAAACAAAAAGAAAAAAAACCCAATGTTTTAAAATGATTGACTTTTTTAATGAGAACTGATCCTTTTTCATTAAAAATGCTTTTTGGCAGCACTGTATCTTTCAACTGGAAAACTTTCCAAATAAAAAATGTCAGTCAGCTGTAATGTAACAAATGCAGCAACAGTATCTTTCATGTCAGGCACATGGCAATTTCATGACTAACAATGTAGGGAGCTTAATTTTCTAACAACTGGGCAATCAATTTTGTATTATGTCCACGATTAAGCTGTGTGCTTGAACACATCCGCCTTTAAGCACTGAAAGATGCGTGGATTCAGTGCGCCCACTCACTACATATAGTACCCAAAGAAACAATATACCTAGGTTCAAGTAATGAATTAGCTCTTTTGGTGATCTGTCAAGGATAGCTGAAGGGCCT